CCCCAAAACCCCAAAACCCCAAAACCCCAAAACCCCATTTTATAATATTAAAACTGAAATGATTTTAGGCAAAATTAGGCTAGGCCTTGTATCCAGAAGCTGTGGGGGATTGGGCATTACTCTTAAGTCAAATTGATTTGAAAGTTCCTTTTTGGTTAGACTCTCCTTGATTTGTCCCTCCTAGCTCTTCCAAATTATAATTCCGACTTTTTATGTTCTGGATCGTTGATCCTCAGGTTGAGGTTGCTACTAGACTTCCCTTAAGCCCGTTCATTGGAGTGGTTACTTGTGAAGAAGTCTTAGCATTTGGGTGATTTGAGTTGACCACAAATGGGGATTTATAATATGCTGTGCTGGGTGACCCTACCTTCGTAGCTAGCCCAGAAGCACTTGGAGAGTTGAACTTCCCCCATGTCCCTTTAACGCTTGGTATAGGGCTTACTACTGCTTTATTCTTAGGTGTATTGTCGCAATTATTCTCTTTATCGTTGAGAGAAACTACTGCTTGTGGGACACCTTTCATTTTAACGTCTTTCTCATTATCACTGAACAGCTTCCTGTTTGAATGGATTGGTTTATTCATAGCCTGTGCTTTTCTTAATAGAGAGCTTGAGGTCTGTTTAAAGTTTCCGTATAATTTCTTCTTATCGGCAGGTGTCCTAACTACCAGGTCTAAATAGGGACTTGGCTTATTATTTGGTAGTCCAATTCATTTATCAGCATCTATAGGGCTTCCCTTTATGGAAGATATGCCTGATGCAAACGATTTCATCATCGAGTTAAAGAAGTTGCCGTCTTCATCGAAGAACTGGTTCTCAATAATCTTTCTCTGGTCTCCAATTTTAGTCTCCAAAATTTCTGATTGTTCTTGAAGGAATTCTAGATACATTAGCTATTTCTTGGTAAAAAGCTTACGCTGGTTTAGTTTGACAATCACACTTATATATGTCTTTTCGACAGGAATTAAGTTGAGATTCTTAATAAAATTTCTTATTTTCTGTTGGCTCTCCTCATAAAACTTCAAGAGTTTGGTATCCTTTGATCTCTGCTTTTCCTGGCTAGACTTATGCTGAGGGTCATTGGCGAAAAGATTAGTCATCCAGGCAGCCTTCTTTTCCGAAAGTTCTTTTATTTTAAGGCCTTCAACATCCTCGTACTGCCTCTTTTTGGCCTGTCTGATTTTATTGAGATATTTAGCGAGGAGGTGGAAGAAATCCAACAGTCGATGGAACTCAAGATGCAATTTGGCACATTCCTTGTAAAATAGCTTACATGTCTTATATGATTCGGTCTTCTTATATCTGTAAGGTTAGCTTGGTTGAACTTACTTGGGATTACCAAAATCAAGGCTCAATTGGAGTCTTCTAAGGGAAAGCAAGAAAGTTTTTATATCGAAAAATATCTCCCGTTAATGACTCTGGGAATTTCATTGATAAATTCATCGATGTTGTCGTAGTTCTTAGCTCGGTACTTATAATCCTCTTCTCTCACCAACTTCCAGTGGGTGGCTAGTCTTTCAATAGACTTTAGGTAATTCTTAAGGTAAAATGCTTTTGGAGAAGTGTCTGAGTATAGCTCATCAAATATTGTGTAGTCAAGATATTTGCTATTCCTACAAGCCTCTTCGATCATCTTGAAAAGATACGAGTCCTCCTGCATTTGTTTTTGTTCTGGAGAAGTATAAGCCTGGTATTTCATGTGCCTCGGCTCAGCAGGTGTCTGAGGAGACCATTTTCTCCTATTTGTGGTACTATTCATTATCTTTTTCAAATATTTAAAATTTTAATGGGGTTTTGGGGTTTTGGGGTTTTGGGGTTTTGGGGTTTTGGGGTTTTGGGG